GACTGTTCCATCGAATTTGATCCTTTTGGCCTTTTTGTGAAGGATTTGCACACCAGGAACGTGATCGCCATGTGCAATAGCTCTGGCGACCTCTATCTGTTCTGTCCACCCTCCACCAGTGCCTCCGCGTTCATCGCTGCACCCACCTCACTTTGGCATCTTCGTCTGGGGCACTTGGGCGTGAAGCTTTGTCCAAACTCATTAGTTCTAGTGTCATTTCTTGTAATAAAGATGATATCGATCATATATGCCATGCATGCCAACTTGGTCGCCAATCACGTTTGATTAGAATTGAATTACTATACATGAGTACATATAAGGGCCAGGGTGGCTTATGAGCCAACCACGCAGGCGTGATATATGCCATAAATCAATGGCTACATACTATAATTACAATAGGCTAACAGTGTGCTTTAAGTTCTCTGTGGCCTGCTAGGCCACGTGAATAACTAAGGATCGTCGCTGTTTTGAGTTCCCTGTGCAGGTTGTTTGGAATTCTATGGCGTGCAGGATCCCAGCGACGCATGGCAGGTCATTGGAGGTCTCCTGTTTGTTCAAATTGTACTTCAGTGGTGTACAAGTAGGTCAATCCTGTAAGTTATGGTGATTTATGGGTGCGTATAAGCAATAATAATTAGAGAAATCAGGATCAGAGCTTTTGTTGTTTGTACTGGTTAGAGATTTTAGTCCTAATTGTAAGTCCTGGGACATGGGGGCACAATGGGAAGAGAGTCAGAATAATAATTTTAGCGTCAGTAATGGAAGTTCTGTTGCTGCTGTATAAACGTATGTACTGTACACTAGCTTGCTAATCCACGTCGGTGGTGGTGTGGTGCGGCGGTGCGGCCACCACCGCCACCGCGTACATGGCTGGCAGCTGTCGCGGTTCAGCGGGTCACGGGTGTAGCAGGGTCGGTGCCTGTTCGTTTCAGCCAGGGTTTATTAGCCATGGTATAGTGTTTTTTTTCTTACAACAAATCAGCCGTACGAACCAGCACAAGCGACTTATAGATCAGCCGAACAGGCTAGGCTAAAGATCTTTGTGTGGCGGACAATGGAGAATTCAAACGACCAACTCCTTTGGCAAGAATACAATCGGATATGTGTTCTATTAAACAAAGGATATTTAAATATTAAAAAAATTATAGCACATCTGAATTCGAATGAGTTACATTGGCAATAGGCGACATACACAATATAAAAGAAAAGCATGATGGATACATAAGTGTAAAAGACAAAGATATATAAAACAATTGTTGAATGCTATATGCCTATATGCATTGATTTGACACATCACTTGCTCCAGCAACAACAGAGCTTTGTCCTGTTTGTTTGGGCTTGTTTGGCTGATAAGCCATAGCTGAAAGTACTGTTGGCTGGTTTGGTGTGAGAGAAAAATATTGTTCGTTGACTGATAAGCCATGGTTTATAAGCTAAATACGACCAAGCGAACAGGCTGCTTATCAAAACACCATGGAACGACTCTTGGAACATTGACAGTTATTAATTAAAGACAAAGATGTATACTTTGGACGATATATTTTAAGTGCTCTACAAAATATGTATGAGAAAATGAAAAGTCTGTCATAATGCATATTCATATATAGTTCAAACGGTATATTAGTGAATTAATTATTAATTTCCAACATATTCTATCATGTATTTATTGCTGAACAATTATCTATTCTACGATGATGCGAGACATATTTATAGTAAAAAAAAGTTAATTTTCAAACAAGGGTCAAATTCAAATTCTCAGTTGGAAACAATGAAACAGGGAGATAAAAATAATGAATTAATTATAAATCCGTAGGAACACACGGGTATATTTACTGGTATTTAAAAAAAAACAGCTAGTTTGGGGGTTGCCATGGAGAAGTGGATGCATAGATTTGTCTGGGCTACGGTGGGCCTAGTTGTGTGGCTCGGAGCAGCAGAGAAAGACAGACAGACACAACCTGATTGTTGGTCCAAGCCTAATGATGTTCATTCTTCTTCTGGACTAGAAAAAATTACTCTCCTTGTATTTGCATTTTGTATACAAGAGATTACGTCTCTGTAAAAATACTCATAGTATCTTGGCTGCCTGCATCATGCTACCCTTATGATTCTCACCATCTAAGGCCTTGTTTGGTTGGGTTGTGGCTTTTAAAAAATCTGTGGTGGGCTGTGGCTTTTGAAAAAGCTACTGTGGAATGTGGTCTGGAAGCCCGTTTGGTTGGACACAGGTGGCTTTTGGAAAAGCTTCACTCTCTTACGAGTGGACCCCACATGTCATAGACACCAAGTCATCTTCTTCCTCTCGACATGGGGATGGCCATGCTCACCCAAACGCCAGGGCTAGCCGCGACGGCAAGGGCAGGCTACGCCCATCCACTGGGGCAAGCCGCACTGCGCCCACCGGACGCGGCTGGCCGGGCCGCTCCCGCTCGGGGTTGGTCGGTGGCTGCGCGTCGGGCCGGGGCTGGCTAGTGGCTACACGCCGGGTCGCTGGAGACGGAAGGGCTGCAGGGAAGCCGAAGACGGAGGGGCCGCGAGGTCGCCGCCATCGGCTGGGATGGAGACGGAGGGGCCACCGGAGCACCGTCGGCTGGAGACGTAGACGGAGGAGCCACTGGCTAGAGACGGAGACGGAGGGGACACTGGAGCGCCGCCACCGGCTAGAGAGGCGGACGTCGACGACGCGGTGGCGGTGGACCGGCGCAACCCTAGTGCCCGGTCGCGGTCCGCTCGCGAGATGCGGAATGGGGCGACGAGAGGAGCTACGAAGCGGAATAGAAACAACGAATCGTTATTTTCTCCCCCTAACCAGTGGCAGGTAGGTAATTTTTGCCCTCAAAAGCCAGTAAAAGCAAGGGGAGAGGTGATTTTGCATTTGTACTAAGGTGAAAGCTGCTTTTGGCCAAAAGCTCAAGTGGCTTTTTGACCATTTGGTTGAGCTTTTGGCTTTTTGGGGCAAAAGCCACGACCAAAAGCCCAACCAAACAGAGCTCTGTGACTGCCAGAGAAAGTTTGCGAGTAAAATTGAAGCCACACTTGTGGCAAAGTTTGGCAAGAAAATGGGTCTATAACGTGTGTGACATGGTGCTAAGAAAAGTGTAGCAAACCAAACAGCTGCCAAAAAAACTGTGGCATGACTAAAAATGTCAGCGGATCGGGTTTGGTGCGGATATCCGCGGGTTTCGGGTTCTCGGGTCTCGGTTTTGGTGCCTGTTTTTCGCCCACGGATTTGCAGGTTCGGATACCCGAAACTCTGTGGGTTTGGGGCGGACTCTATTTTTCACCCGTGGATACTCCATCGGGCCCTGAATATGTAGCCCACTAAAAGCCCAGCTAAGAAACCCTAGTATATATTGCCTGAAATAGGAACCCTCACCCCTCAGACCCTCATCCGCAGCCATAGGACCGCAGCCGGCGTCCGCGTCGCGCGAGTCCGCGAGTCCGTAGATCGCAGCCGGGGTCGCGCGACTGCGCGAGACCGCGAGTCCGCGTCTCCGCGACTGGCCGCTGGCGAGTCCGCCGTCCGAGACCGCGAGTGCGACCGCGGGACCGCTGGACGCTGGTCGCCTGGACCGCGGCAGTGCGGCACCAGCGCACGGCGGCGGTCTCGACCTGCACGGCGGCGGGCGGCCGCACGCCCGCTCCCACCCGGCGCCCCGAGCCAGCGAGCCCTCGCCGGGCGCCCTCGCCGGCCTTGCCGCCTCATCAGTCCGCGACCCTAGTCCGCGTCCTCGCTGACCTTGCCAGCCTCGCCGACCTTCCAAGTTCCGACCTCGCCGGCGAATCCAACAGGCCAGGTACGACGGCACATCCCTCCCCTAGATCTTAAGCTGCTGTATGTTCCATTTTCTCAATCTTGTCATGTGACCATGTAATAATGTATGTTCCTTTTTCATTTGTCAGGAAGGGTGAGCAATGTCGACTCCTGGTGATACAAGTGGATCTCAATCTGCTGCTGTATCTCAATATGTGGGTTCTTGTCCTCCAAGGCGTCCTCGTCTTGCATCCGAGTCCCTATTTTTATTTCACAGGATGAAGATGAGTCCACCATAATCCATAATTGATGAATGATGAACTTTGTTGTAATCTGGACAGTGTGTGCCTCAAGTGAAGATGATTGTCTCAAGTTGCATATCTATTTGATAAAAAAAAGTCTTATTTGTTTGGTCTGTAAATCTGTAATATGTGAGCTGTACTGCTGTAGTAGTGCTGTACTGAACTTGCATGTTTGATGTTTCTGGTTCTAGAATCTGGACATGGCTATCGGCTACCTGGTAGCCTGCTTCTACTTGCTAGTACTTTTGGAATCAGCAAGCTATTATGCTAATATATCATGTTTTGTATTGCTCGGTCTGTTGACCTGTTTTAATTTTCTCGGGTTTCGTTTAATCCGTCGGGTTTCAGGATCCACAGGTTTCGGTTTCGGGGATGGATTTTCACCCGAATCGGAGTTCGGGGCGAATTTGGGTTTTACTTTCGGGTTTCGGTTTTGTTCCACGGAGACTCCACCCGATCCGAATCCGCCCCGTTACCATCTTTAGGCATGACAAACCTTGTCATGAACCAAACAGACCCTGGCTTATCCGTCCTCAAGTTCTGTCGTCTAGCGGCTATAATGAGTTGCCTGTTTTTTTTTAACTAATGAGTTGCCTGGTTGGCCCGTCACAAACCAAACAACTTCTAAGACCCGTCAGCACAAACCTGCAGAATCAACTCCTAATTTCTTGCTCCATTGGAAAACGTGAAAAAAAAACGATACTCCACCTGTTGTAGGCCTCGACTGAACTCTAATGGGCTGTAGGCCATGACCCATAGGCCATAGCCCATGCCCGCCAGTCGCCGCTCGACATCGCCCCTCTCCTCTCCTCTTCTCCTTGCTAGTTTTCCACCACACAAAACGAAACAGAGGAGACACCAGTTCTCGAAACTGAAATCGTCGCCGCCCCATTCTCTCCAGCAATATGCTCATTTCCTTGAGAGTTGCAACCTTGGTGCTGTGGATGGCGCTCGCAGTGGACGCGCTCTCCTGTCGCCGCCCACTCCCCTTCAGAAGCAGAGGTACGCGCAATTTTGCCATCCATCCTCCAGCGTTCTTGGCCCGATTTGATTTTCTACATCCGGTTGTGTCGTTTCACTTCGTGGGCAATTCATTCTCCACCAACCATGGTCCATGGCCCAATCTGCACAGTTCTCCACGCCTCCACCAACCATTGTCAATTTCGTGATGTCCAGCCCATGCCTGTCCTCTAATGAAATGCAGGCGTTTGAACTCAATCGTCCACTATTTCTTGGGGATGTTTCCTTTCCTTCAACCACAAGCACGGCAGTCAGCAGTGATGGGAGGAACCGAAAAATAGTCGATTAATATAGATTCAGAACTTACTGTAGCAAGGGGAGGAATCCTTACTGCAAGGCGTAGAGGGGAGGTCATATACTCCTACCGGTAATACCCCCTATATCTTAAAATCGATTTTCACGTTTTCAACGGAATCAATAAAAAAGACACATATGCTAGAAACTGTAACCATATAATACGTCCCTCTCATCCAGCAGACACCGCAATTGATGCTGTGGTAGCTAGTCCATCACAATTTATGTTCATGTCAGTGTTACAAGGATGAACGTAGGATTATTTCCTTTTTTCTGTGTAATTCGACCTTCTTGCATGTGTTTACTGCGTGCGATATCATGTGGAAATGTCTGAACATATCATTCTTTTTCAGAGACCCCATTGCTTATATCATTCTGGCATCCTTACATTGACAGATCATACTACTTGATTAGGTTGGAAACTGCAAAGCCCGGTTGCTACATGGAAACATATGCAGTCTCGCCGACTTACTGTAAGCACTGTTCTTTCACATTAGTGACTTTTAGTTGATCTCGATGTATGCATATGACAAACATACATTGTTTGATATTGAAGGAGGTCATAACATTTGCGCCAAAGAACACTAAGAGGAAAAGGAGAAGTTTTCAAAACGAGTCAAAAGGATTCGTTGTTGGTAAGTGAGGAAGCTTCTTCGGGCAGTGGAGGAAGTGCCAGCACAAGCCTCGAGGTCAATAGCGAGGATGCTGCTACTGACGATCAAATTTCAGGTGCCCCAAGGACTGCTGTTCTTCAGGCTTGCACTCTCACATCAGGCTTGCTGCTTGCTGGAGGGCTTCTGCTTCGCCAGGTAAAAACGGTATTGTTCTAGAATAAATTTCAGTGCATGAGACGGCTTTGATAGCGAAATCTAAATGTAGCTTTGGTTTAAATTATACTAAACGCATATGAGTTTGTGCTCTGCTGTTACTTTTGCAGTGTCCTGAACTCTTTATGAACCCAGATTGCTTACCTTTTGCCTTCTGTATCAAAGCCTGAATTTCATAATAAAAATGGCTGATTGTCTACCGCAGGCATCACACCTAGCATCTTTAAATGGATGGCCAATTGCTGATCCTACAGATGTTTCATGTAAGTTTTTTTCTACATCTTTACAAGTAAATGAGATTTAATGTGATATTTCTGACTAGGAAAAATGCCTTGTATCATATTATTAACTTAACTACTGATTTTTCTACAGTCAATTTTGAAACTTGGCATCTTGAGTTGGTTGCGGGACTTGTAGTAGTAATCTCCTCTAGTAGATACATTTTGCTACAAACATAGTCAGATTTCAGATATTCCAGTGAAGCTGCAAATAGACAAGTATGTAACTATGCATACTTCGAATGCCTTTTGAGTTGTATCTTTTCTTGGATTTATTGGTTTCACATTTCAACATGCTGATAAATAACATAGTTCTAATATCTTATAGAGGTTCAGCATAATGAGAAGCATTCTGTTAAAAAACGAGATCCAACCTAGGAGGAACTAGGCAGTTTTTCATTTAGAAGAGAAATAGGCAGAAATAGGAGCTCAAATTCAAGCCAAGAGAGGACTTGGAATCTGGGTGGTTGGGTGCATGACCACACCTCCCACCCAACCAGTTGAGCTAAGCTCACTTCCTATGAAAAGCATTCTGTTATACACTGAAAGATATAGTTGTTTGTATGTTCTGGTCTTTTACCCTAATGAAACATAAAGTTTGGGAGTGCCTTGCGCCAACAAGGTTAATTATATTGGTGTGACAAAAAGAACTCTCTTTACTTGCAGCCTTCCACCAACCTATTCTTTAATCCCTTCAATTTCGCATATTCGTGACTACGAATCCAGAGTTCCAGACATGCAGGTGTAGGATACTAGGATCTCTTTTCAGTCTATGGTCAACAATTAGTGTGTGGTCAACAATTAGTGTGTCATGTCTTCCCCTGAAATCACTTTTGTACTCAAACCTTGCCAAGCTTACTCAGTATTTTTAGATACTGCAATCCACACTTAATTATTATTTTTTCATCCATTAGATCCTTACATCGCTAGAGCCTCTGGACTACATTGTTGTTGCTTGTCTCTCTGGGATAAGTGAGGTAAGATCATCAATGAAAAGATATTGCTTAACACTGGTTTGGTTAATAAAGTAACCTTTTTATGTACACTTTACATATAACAGGAGTTGCTCTTTCGAGGGGCGATGATGCCTATCTTGGGATTGAACTGGATTAGTGCCCTTATAATCGGAACCATTTTTGGTGTTCTTCACTTGGGCAATGGCAGGAAATATTCATTTGCAATCTGGTAATACTTTTCTGTGGTATTTTTGCATGTGTGCAACAGGAAAATATGTACTATTTCCTGCTATACACATAAGTGTTAACATGTTGATAAGATTCAGATATATTCTTATACATTTTTTTTATGTTTCCAGGGCAACATTTGTTGGCTTTGCCTATGGTATAGGAACCATAGCTTCCTCAAGCATTATAGTTCCAATGGCTTCTCACTCCATAAACAATATTATCGGAGGTTTACTTTGGCGCTATACAAAGAATTCACAAAAGTTAATATACATAATACCCTTAATAGTCATCCTTGTAAGATCTTGCACAAGTTTAGACTTTTTAGTCCTTAGTCCTTACTAGTCCTACTGCCAGTATTAGTGTCCCATTATTGCTTCACCCATGTATTTTCAGTAGCTTATATTAATTTTTGATTTTCTCATTTTTTTCCCTAAGAACGTATGGAAATGAAGTTAAAGATGACCACATACATGTGAAAAACAAAATGTCGAGTCATTAGACTCATGGTCTACAGAATATAAGTTGCGATGAGCTTGAAACTATTCTTTTTTTTTTTTTTTTTTGAAACACTTGAAACTATTCTTTACTTAACGGTTACAACTTACAACCATAGGTAGTCAAATTCAGAACTGTTGCCTCTAGGTAACAAACATAAAAAAAAAAGAATAGAGCAATGAAAATTTTCCTTTCCAGTGCTCATCCATATACAAGATATGTAGTCAGACTTCATCGGTAAGAATAAAATGAGAAGTGCCGTGAAATCAGACCCTGCTTCGTTGTGGGCGAATGAAAACAAGGTATGTTATGTGGCAGACGCGCTACAGTACCGCGGGTACTGTTCATGGCTAGGGCTGCGAGGGTGAGAGAGAGCCGGCCGCGGGGCGTTTGCCCACGGCCGGGCAAGAGGGAAGGGATTTCCTTCTTAATTCTTGTTTGATTAGATTGATACATCTCCTCTCCTTATATAGAGAGGTTTACTTGACTCCTAAGCAAGCGACCCTTATCTCTAATTAACCATAACACTAATGGGCTATACATCTAGCCCAGGCCCAATAGGCCCCTGCCATACTCTAACACTACACCCCACCAGGACATGCAGCTCGTCCTCGAGCTACAACCTAATCAACTTATAACGATGTCTCGACACAAACCTATCACTTAAAAACGAGCCTTTTACATCTCGACTTATTTTATTGTTATCAACCGAAAATAGATGTGAACTCTTTATTTTTGCAGCATCTTCAATTGATGGCGGACACCATCCCGACGCATAAGCTGCGCACGAGACAACCACCGGATCCCTTGGACACCATCTTGATGAAAGGGGTGCTTGTATATAGCCACCTAGAAGTAGTCGCAACAACGGCCGAAAGGCGCCCTCGCGGTGGTCGGTGGCGGCGAAAGCGGCGGTGCTAGGCGATGCGCTCCCCGCCGGTGACACCATGCCTTCTCCCACGGACGGATCTGCCGTCTGCGCACCGCACAAAGAAGAGCGGATGGCTTTCGACGGAGAATGACGAGGGCGCCTCCCCAACCGCCGCCACCGCAGAAGTTTGAGTTCGCCGCCATGAGAGAAAAAGCAACATGCCCGTCACCCGTGGGGAAACCGCCGACACACAGTGTGTAAGCATCTTCCCGCCGGCTCCATCGCGATGTCCGTCGACTGCTCGATCTGCCGTGACTTCTCGCCCACGTCTTGGATCTGCTGGACGCCGGCGCCCCTATAGAAGATGCCATCGGTGAATGGGTGCTGGAGGCTCGGCCCACCGGAAAGGACAACAACGCTGGTGGTGGGCGCTGGAGCAACCGTCGTCGTGGCCGCCGGGGTGCTCGCCATTGTGTACACCGGCCCCATCGTCGATGCCATAGCATAAGACGGGATCGAAGAAGGAGAGGGCGGCATCCACGGCTGGTGGATGGGAACCAGGGCGGTTGCCTGCACGTCCTGGAACGGCGGCGTCGGCGCGGCTAGGAACAAGGTCGTCGCAGTCGCGTCGTAGGGCATCCCATACTGGTACGAGATGACCGGCGCCGTGGTCGCGGCGAGGAAGGCCCTGATGCCCGCCACGGCCTACCGTAATTCCAGGATTGCGGCCGTCATCTGCTCCGGGGTGAGGACGAGGGCGGCGGGAGACGACGGCGCCGGGCAGAGGGCACGATCGCCCCTGAGAACGCCAGCGCGCCCAATGCCGGCGCGCTGATATGTGGTAGCAGTGTCGACGAAGACGCTGGTGGCAGCAGCTGGACATGATCGAACCACATGATCGAACTAGAGATCTCTGATACCAGATTGTTATGTGGCAGCTAGGATTGAGGTGAGAGAGCCGTGGGGAGCGACGGTGGCTGGCGTGCTACAGTACCCGCGGCGCTATAGTACCGCGGGTACTGTTCATGGCTAGGGCTGCGAGGGTGAGAGAGAGCCGGCCGTGGGGCGTTTGCCCACGGCCGGGCAAGAGGGAAGGGATTTCCTTCTTAATTCTTGTTTGATTAGATTGATACATCTCCTCTCCTTATATAGAGAGGTTTACTTGACTCCTAAGCAAGCGACCCTTATCTCTAATTAACCCTAACACTAATGGGCTATACATCTAGCCCAGGCCCAATAGGCCCCTGCCATACTCTAACACTACACCCCACCTGGACATGCAGCTCGTCCTCGAGCTGCAACCTAACCAACTTATAACGATGTCTCGACACAAACCTATCACTTAAAAACGAGCCTTTTACATCTCGGCTTATTTTATTGTTATCAACCGAAAATAGATGTGAACTCTTTATTTTTGCAGCATCTTCAATTGATGGCGGACACCATCCCGACGCATAAGCTGCACGTAGACAACCACCTGGATCCCTTGGACACCATCTTGATGAAAGGGGTGCTTGTATATGGCCACCTAGAAGTAGTCGCAACAACGGCCAGCGAAGGCGCCCTCGCGGTGGTCGGTGGCGGAAAGCGGCGGTGCTAGGCAGTGCGCTCCTGCCGGTGACACCATGCCTTCTCCCCGCCGGACGGATGCTGGTCTGCACCGCACAAAGAAGAACGGATGGCTTTCGACGGAGAACGACGAGGGGAGCACCTCCCCAACCGCCGCCACCGCAGAGTTTGAGTCGCCGCTCGCGAGAAAAACAGCATGCCCGTCACCCGTGGGGGAAACCGCCGACACCTGGTGTGTAAGCATCTTCCCCGCCGGCTCCATCGCGATGTCCATCGGCTGCTCGATCTGCCACAACTTCTCGCCCGCGTCTTGGATCTGCTGGACACCGGTGCCCCTATAGAAGATGCCATCGATGAATGGGTGCTGATTGCTCGGCCCACCAGAAAGGACAACAGCGCCGGTGGTGGGCGCTGGAGCGACCATCGTCGTTGCCGCCGGGGTGCTCGCCATCATGTACACCAGCCCCATCGTCGATGCCATAGCATAAGACGGGATCGGCGAAGGAGAGGGCGGCATCCACGGCTGGTGGATGAGAACCGGGGCGGTTGCCTACACGTCCTGGAACGGCGGCGTCGGCGCGGCTGGGAACAACGTCGTTGCAGTCCCGTCGTAGGGCATCCCATATTGGTACGAGATGACCGGCGCCGTGGTCGCGGCAAGGAAGGCCCTGATGCCCGCCCTGGCCTGCCGTAATTCCAGGATTGCGGCCGTCATCTGCTCCGGGGTGAGGACGAGGATGGCGGGAGACGACGGCACCGGGGCAGAGGGC